AGTCTGTGATTAAATGGTCTTGCCAGGAGATTGACCAACATAGTTTAGATGCCAAATTGTGATATGGAAAAGCACACAGGTGAGTTTGTCTATAGCGATAATGTGGTATCAATAAGCTTGGGAATTAAAATCTGCTGCTACTGTACAGGTTCCACCAAATGCATAGTACAGATAATGAGAAATAATGATAGGAATTTATGAGATTTGATCGGGGAGTCTGAATGAAATCTCTGAAGTAATTGGATATGACACTTCTAGTCGCGATCATTAGAGGGTTCGGACGCGAATTGGTTTAAGCATGGATCAAAAAGTGATTAAATTATTACTGTGATAGTTCAAACTAAACAACTTGAAGTTTGTGATAGTGTAGAATAAAGCCAATAGGATGCAGGGTAGATGAATGTACCATAACTGCTTAGCAAAAAGTTACTCAAGGGATGAACTATTGTTCTCACAGCCGAGTTTTAATTTTCTGTTGATACCAGCAGGGCTCACGGAAGATATTGTTGTACGCCTGGATATGTATCATTTACAAAGTCCGACTATATAAATTATCAACAGGACGGATACTAATCTACGTTCTATATTTCCCTGACACCACGACCAAGTTGTCAAAATGAAATCAAACCAATTTTATGCAGCAGAAGCAGATTGCGACTAAAATTTAGGCAGCACCTTCTTGTTCTTTATACCTTTTGATAGTTTGTTATAGGTGTTCACACTATATGATTTAGTATTTTAAAACAGAGCTCTTATGTCTATAATCATCTAACTTTTAATCCTGTTATTTTGAATTTCCAAATATTATTATTGTTTATATTTATGTATATCTTTCACTTCATTATTTTTATTTGCCTATTAATCACTGCATCTTTTTACTTCTATCTTTCTGCTTAATTTTGACTATATCATTTTATCAGTTTATTTGCCAAAAGGGGCTCCTGGAATTAAAAAATATTAGTTTTATTTAAATGCTAAAGGTTATTATGTCTTCTTTTTTAGGTCCTCAATGCGAAATCAACATTTTTATCTGATTGTGCTTTACTCACTTCATAAAGTCAGCTTTCACTGCATATTCTCCTTTATTTTTACCTCCGGATAACCATTTCTCTGGCTGAGCTCAGGTTGTTGTAGCTGGCCTATTCAGTCCCGTCGGTGACGGCTACTCCAAACCTGGCCTAGCTCCAGCAGCAACTCGCTGCCGCCTAGCCAGACTAGCCTGCGCTTCTACTTCTGACTGGCTGGCTGTTGACGCCTGGGAGTCACGGCAACCGAATTGGACACGTACACGAGTTGTGGCAGAACAACTAGCTAGTCGATTAAATTCCCTTGTACTTGGTCATTGCAGAAGCCGTCTCTCTCATCCCCACGCGTGCCCTATTTCCTCCCTCGACCCAGCGCATGACTGCTCCGAATCAGGAAAAATGACTACGAGTGAGGCGCTCACAACAACTGCAGATTGTGTTGCCTAATTGATAAGTTTGGGTTTATCTGCGCTTCATTATTATTCTGCATCGACATATGTCAAAAGCAGTTCCTATCCTCAGTAGCTAATTTAAGCATATTCTTTTCTAAAAACCCGTCAAAGGAATTCCCTTTCTCTACAGTCGTTCGACTTTACTATGTGTTCACGCTGGCAGTTCACAAGGCATCCTCTCTCAGTTCTGGTGAATACAGAACGTTTCTAATATAAATTTCAAGTTTTCATAGACTGTTGACGATAATGCACTATCAAACGACTGCTGTAGAACAACAATGCGCAATTACCCAAGAATTTTTACACGAATGAAAGTAATAAAAAGCTTTTAGGCAAATAAAAAGTCTGTAC